TGGGGAATTGGACAAGTCTACCAAATTTCATGTTTCTACGACAAACTAAGGTTAATGAGGAGGGTATTTTGAACATTTCTAGGTGGCACTCCTGAGCCATTTCTGTTTCGATTTTTACCCTGCCCTTAAACTATATAATTTTTCAACAGTCCTGATGCGTCCGCCAAATTTGGTGACTTTTGGGATATGTTAAGGCCTCCAAAACACCAATTCATTTGGCGGAAAAAAATGTAGCTCGGGCCTGAACAGAGCAATTACAATAGGCATTTGCAACGCTTTGCTTCTCGGGCCTAATTAGAGAGACAGGTAGGAAGGTACTTGGTGTGTCATCTATGTGTCATCATCTGTTTCGTCAATCTAGTTTATGTTAGTTTAGTTTATGTTAGTGCTCGCATTAAGCGTGTAAATTAGAGTCGAACCAAAACTATGAGAATCGTGCTGCTGTTGTTCGATGTATTCGGTGAGGGATCAGGCTGGAAAGGATGTGCAGCAGGTTAGGCTTGTTAAACATAGGAATTGTAATGTTCTAACAAGTGGGGGGAGTGTGATGGGAAGATGGAAGGAGCACTTTGAGGAGCTAATGAATGAAGAGAAAGAAGAGTAGAGTCATAGAAACTGTGGATCAGGAAGTGGGAAAGATTAGTGAGGGTGAAGTCTGGAAAGCTCTGAAAAGAATAAAGAAGGAGAAGGCAGTAGGACCTGATGACATACCAGTGGAGGTTTGGAAATGTCTTGGAGAGATGGCAGTGCATTTTTTAAGGCAAATATTCAATGATATATTTGAAGGTGAGAAAATGCCTCATGAATGGAGAAGAAGTGTGCTGGTGCCCATTTTATTTTATTTATTTATTTATTTATTTTTTTTAATTTTTTTTTTTTAATTTTTTTTTTTTTTTAGATGGCCTCCCTTCTCCCCTTACAACCATCCTCTCCACACCATTATTATGAAATATTTATTCTAGTGACTATCTAGTGTAGGGTTTTTTTTTTTTTTTTTTTTTTAATAGGATAGAAAGAAAGAAAAGACAAAGTAAGACTCCAAAATATAAGAAATATACACAAAGAGAGCACACGGCAAAACACCCGGCCGCTGTCTGTTCACCTGCAAAGAACATGACAAAACACAGCAACAAAATTCATACGTATAAAGAACTTAAAATATTCATGGCTTTGCAGTAAGTTTCCATAAATATATATACCCATACCTATGCCTATATACATACATACATACACATGAATATACATGAATATACATATCTACATATCTACATATAAAGCCTACATTAGCATCCCTGCTTCTATTTGTGTGTGGTTGTGAGCATGCATAAGTGTATAAGGCTTCTCTAATAGAACATTTAATAGTAACTGTGAAGCAGCAGAGACCCGACCCCCAAGACCAGAGGCAGACGAAAAAGGGGGGACCAGAGCCCAAGACCCCAGGAGGGACCCCAACCGCAGAGCCCCCAGAGCCACCCACACAGGACATACCACTCACCCACCCCCCAGAACGGATCACAGGGGAGAACCGGAAGATCCCCACCAGCGACCACATACAGTGACCCCCCGGGGCCAACAGCGACAAACTCATAGGCCTCCGTCAGAACCCGCCGCACCGATGTAGGTCCAGGTCCGGGCACCGAGGCCCGGGCACCGAGGACTCACACCACCCAGGCCAAGGCCCGACAGGGCCAGAGGACCTGAGCCCCACCAGGCAGACACCAGGCCGAGCCGACACAAGCCCAAGCGCCCAGCCCCCTACACCAAGGGCCCCAAGCGCGCCGGTAGGCAAGGGCACACCCCACCAGGGGGCCGCACGATAGGGGCGCGATGCCAAGCACCCCCAGTTGTATCAAAGAGGGGGCAGTCCGAGTCTCGGCCTAACAAATACCCATTCATACACAGACACAATCACACAATCCCAACCTCAGTCTCACCTTCACTCACTCAAAGACATACAATAACGATACTTTTCATTCTTATTCCCGATACGCACTCTATACCCCCCAGGTCCAAGACATGTACCCGCCCTCTACAGGGGGCAGCCCATGCCCAAACCCAGGAGGTAAACCCATTCATTCTCGAGCGGAGAAGAGCCAATACCCCAGACCCGGCCCAGGCCATGCCCCGCCGACAGGACACCCCCCCACCATGAAGAGGACACGCCACCGACCACCCACCACACACCGCCAACAACCAAGCACCAACCAAGCTGGTGCCCATTTTAAAGAACAAGGGTGATGTACAGAGTTGTAGCAACTACTGGGGAATTAAGTTGAAGAGTCACACAATGAAGATCTGGGAGAGAGTTGTAGAAGCAAGATTTAGACAAGAGGGGACTGTGAGCAGCAATATGGTTTCATGCCAAGAAAGAGCACCACATATGCAATCTTTGCTTTGAAGATGCTGATGGAGAAGTACATAGAGGTTCAGAAAGAACTCCATTGTGTCTTTGTGGATTTAGAAAAAAGCATATGACAGTGTGCTGAGGGAGGAGGTGTGCTATTGGATGAGGAGATCTGGAGTGGCAGAGAAAGGTGTTAGACTGGTACAGGACATGTATGAGGACAGCAGGACATGTATGAGGACAGCAGGACAGTGGTGAGATGTGCTGTAGAAGTGACAGATAGCTTCAAGGTGGAGGTGGGAGTGCATCAAGGATCAGCTCTGAACCCCTTCTTGTTTGCTCTGGTGATGGACCGACTAACAGATGAGGTCAGGCAAGAATCCCTGTGGACTGTGATGTTTGCAGATGACATTGTGCTCTATGGTGAGAACAGGGAACAGGTGGAAGAGAACTTGGAGAGGTGGAGGTATGCACTTGAAAGTAGAGGAATGAAAGTCAGCCATAGTAAGACAGAGTACATGTGTGTGAATGAGAGGGAGGCCGGTGGAACTACAAGGCTACAAGGAGCAGAGGTCACAAAGGTTCAGGACTTCAAGTACTTGGGATTCACTATCCAGGAAAATGGGGAGTGTGGTAAAGAGGTGAAGAAGAAAGTCCAGGCAGGATGGAGTGGCTGTAGAAAAGTTTCAGGAGTGATTTGTGACAAAAGGGTGTCAGCAAAGGCCAAAGGAAAAGTTTACAAGACAGTTGTGAGACCAGCTATGATGTATGGTCTGGAGACAGAAACATGGACAAAAAGACAGGAGAAAGAACTGGAAGTGGCAGAAATGAAGATGTTGCGGTTCTCCTTAGGAGTGACAAGGATGGATAAGATTAGGAATGAGATAATCAGAGGCACAGCACAGGTTGAACAACTGGGAGATAAAGTTAGAGAGACCAGACTGAAATGGTTTGGACATGTCCAGAGGAGGGACAGTGGGTATATTGGTAGAAGGATGTTAGAAATGCAGCTACCAGGAAAAAGACAAAGAAGATGTATATGGATGCAGTTAGAGAGAACATAGAAGTAGTTGGAGTGAGGACAGAGGATGCAGAGGACAGAGAGAGATGGAGGATGACTTGCTGTGACAACCCTAAAGAGGGAAACGCTGAAAGAAGATATTATTTTAAATTTAACATAAAATCTCTACAAAACTATTTCCCTGGAGTGTGTGTGTGTTTGTGTGTGTTTATGTAAGTGTGTGCATGAGTATTTGCAGTTGTGTTTTTGTGTTTAATTAAGGTTTGTGTGTTTGTCATTACTGAAGGAAATATTCACATTTTGTTTGTTTAGTCAAAAAGCACTCATTTTATATGCAACAAATAAGTTTGAGAGCTTCTTCAAACCCAAGCCTTCTTGCAACTGAATCTTTTTTAACCAGAATGAAGAACTTCTCTTGCACTTTTAATTATTTTTTCAGTTCATGTGCCATGTTTAGAAAAGTTGATTATTTGAGATAAGATATGTGTGTCCTTTTTTCTGTTAACAAAATATCTCATTAACAACTTGACAAATGTTATTGAAATGCTATCCATGCGATATCTTTACTCGCTTCTTCCTTTTCGGGTTGCAGGAGTCACTGGTGTCCATATCCAGCAATCACTGTGCAAGAGGCGGGGGACACCCTGGACAGGTCTCCAGTCCATCACAGGGACACATAGAGACAAACAACCATTCACTCTCTCACTCACACCTTGGGACAATTTAGAGTTACCAATCAGTCTAACATGCATGTTTTTAGTCTGTGGGAGAAAACTGGAGTACCTGGAGAAAACCCATGCATGCACAGAGCGAACATGCAAACTACATACAGAATGGCCCCCCAGCTGAGATTTGATCTCAGTGAGAGGTAGCAGCTCTACCTTTCTTGAAACTTTTTGAACTTAAATATTCAGTGGAGATCAAAAAGTGATTAATTTTTGGGTGCATTAACGGCCTCGCACCATCATACCTCCCTGACCTTTTTCATCCTTATGCTCCTTCTCGGGCTCTGAGATCACCAGACCAGCTACTTTTGGCCGTACCAAAAACCAGGCTGAAGCTCAGAGGAGATCGAGCATTTTCAATCGTGGGCCCTAAACTTTGGAACAATCTGCCCATCAACATTCGACAGGCCACCTCAGTCTCTGCTTTTAAATCTCTCCTAAAAACACACCTATACTCATTGACATTTAACACAGGGTGATCGGATTTAGATCTAGTTTTTCATTGATGCTGATTCTGTTTATGCTTTTGTTATTATTTCCTTGACTTTTGACACAACGTGATCTGATTTAGTATTTCATTGTTTTTAATTATGTTTTCGGTTTTATATTTTTATTCCATGTGCTGTAAATATATCTTGCTACTTTTTATTTGATGATGTGATATTTTTGTTAAGCACTTTGGTAACAGTTTCTGTTTTAAATGTGCTCTATAAATAAATCTGACTTGACTTGAAAACCAATACTGCATGTGCTGCACGTTATGCAAGTTCTGTCTAAAACTTAAGCACTAACTGTTGTAGTTCAGTAAAATATCCCATGACTCATTGGACAGATCCGAATGCAACAGTTAGAAAGTTTTTATCAGAATTTACATGTTTTACCATTTTTTTCCTCTCTTGTTTGTCTTCAGATGACCCATCAGCCAACTGGCTGCATGCACGCTCCTCTAGGAAGAAACGTTGCCCATACACAAAATACCAGACCTTGGAGCTGGAGAAGGAGTTCTTGTTCAACATGTACCTCACGAGGGACCGCAGGCACGAGGTGGCACGTGCACTTAGCCTGACCGAGCGGCAGGTTAAAATTTGGTTTCAAAACCGGAGAATGAAAATGAAGAAACAAAGCAAGGACCAACCCAACAAGGAGTAGAGGAACTTACAGTCACACACATACTCACACACTAACACACACACACACACACAAAGATGGTCATTCTAGCATACAGACTGTTCCTTGTAAAGGGTCTTGGAACCTGAAACTCCTCACCCACAGTCCACATGAGCTGTAGTAGAAATTCTGTCCCATCACCTTCATTTTTATCAAAAGCCTAAACTAAGGCTGTGAACAAAGTTAGCCTTCAGTAGATAGCATTCATCTACAGTCTAGAGTAGCTTTCAGGCTCCACATTCATGCAAGCATTTAACACAAATAGATCATAAGCTACACATCATGACACCAAAAGCATTGAGGTCGAAGTGAAGTTCTGGACATTTGGATGGTTGAACTGGGAGCACCAGCTTGGGACCAACTTGGAGGTCCAAGTTCACAGATGCCTCCAAATATAATCTAATGTTCTGATACTCTGATGTGCTGGAGGAGTATCCAGTTAAAGAGGGGACTTTATCTGTGCTACTGATCGTAAAAAGGAGGTTTTGACATTAGTTGCAGTAAACCAGTCCTGAAGTCAGCATCTCACCGCATTGCGACTGTTGGAGACTAAAGGCATTCACCAAGAAGTATCTAAAATGACTCAAAGTGTACAAAATGTTCTCTTTGTTTGATCTAAGTGGCAGCGACTCACAGTCTGGAACTTTGAACATGATCAAAAAGTTTGTGGGACAAATTTTGTCTTGAAATAGTCAAGTCATATTTATTTATAGAGCACAATTTAAAACAGATAGACTGTTATCAAAGTGCTTAATAGTCACAGATGCATTGCTGGTGTCTCCCATCAGTCTCCAGCCCACATGCAAATTGATTTCAATTTGGAAGGATTTTATTAGAAAGCACAAAATTACAGAATAGCCATTTAATTTCCAGGCTTGTAGGTGATGTAACCTATAAGGCTGCATATTCTCAGTTTTTATAGGACACCACACCACATCCTGATTCTGATCTGTAAACATCTATTGCATTAACAAAGCTTAGGTATCCTGATGCATGCTCGATAATCCAGGTAGAAAAATCCAACAAAGTTAAGTCAGGTCCTCTGGATGGACTATTTTTGTTGAAATGTTTTGTCTTTCATCCAAAAGACTTCATCAGTCCGAGGAGCCACAACTAACTCAATCTTATATATAGCACCTTCACATAGTGGGTCAACCAGTTTGATAGTGTTGAGATGGTTTCTGGAGTCCGCCCTCTCCCCCGCCGATTCGTTTGAGGTAGTCATATCCAAAGTTCAAATATTTTTGATTCCACTATGAGAAGATGCTGTTTATAAGACTGAGTTTGTCGTGGCGCCTCAGACTGATTGTCTTTTGGATGAAAGACGAAATGTTTCAACGAGAAGAATCCGTCCAGAGGACCTGACTGAACCTTGTTGGTGCTTATGTAGATTTGTGCTAATAATGCAAATGCCTGTCATTATTCAGTGTGGATTGGGTGTCAGGCCACAAAACAAATTAATTAACGGTTCATATATAACCATGTTTTGCATGCTCAAAAACAAACATTTCAGTTTAAATCAGTCGGTACAAATTGTAGCTGCCGCATCTGTCAGATCAACGCTCACCCAAGCTTCTGTGCGCCCACCAAAACTCAGCCATCCAGCGCTTTGTAGGGTTGAGTTAAAAAAAGTTAATCTCTATTTTTGTACATACAATATATTTAGTAGTTTCTCCTATGCAAGGCGCAGTTCTCTCATTTCAGGAAGTACAGCGTGCACAAGGGCTCTCCCTCCGAATGCATAAAAAACATGAAATTCCTTTACAGACATTCCCTTTATGGCCCTGATGGTTTGACTTGGATGTTTCAGCATTATTTGATTTTGCTGTTGTTTGTCTGATGTAGTTATTTTTTTTAATATTGGTTTGCTTTTAGGGTTTAAAACTCATGGAGGCCCTGACAGCCTCCCTGTCACTGTGGCATTATCTCAAACGTGGCTCCTGCCCTCTGTAAATGGCAGCCGCTGTCAGGTTTATGGAGGAATCATTTACTGTCGTGTGCGTGCGTGTGTGTGTGTGTGTGTGTATGTCTGTGTAACAGTGGGACCTTGTAAAATATAAACAAGATAAGAGCTACATTTTTTAAACGAGCAGCATCAAATACATCGTCTCAGCAGAAAATGTTTACATGGTTTTGTGCATGCTTCCAGGTCATTTTGTCATTTGAAAAAGGCTTTTTGTTCAGTTTTGTGTTAAATGTATCAAATGTATAGTTGCTTGCTGAAAAGAATATTAGAGAAAAAAAAAAAAAAAGAACAGAACTTTCTAGACATAAACTATTTCCTATTTATTGTGTATTAGATGAGTAATCTTTTCAGGATGAGCTGATGTGAAATGTTTTGTAAAATCTTTCTCTGTTTTTTTTTTAGATTTCCATGTTCTCGTACTGTTTAATGTGTTCATAACGTTATTCTGATGTGTGTTTTCATTTAACGATGAAGAGTGATGAGTTAGACTCTCTCGAAGGAAAGGAGAGGAAACTGTTTTGTTACCATGAAGCAAAGCTTCAAAGATATTTTAAATTATTTGCTGCTTTTTCCTTCATGACTTCTCTCAGTGCTTCCTTTCGTGACATGCTGTCGTTTTAGTTGTCTCTGCTGCAAATGGACAAGCATAATCCAGACCATATGGTCAGAGCGAGAGGCGTTCAGTCTGTCTGTTCCGAGCTTCCTGTGTGTGATCCTCTCCTCTCACCTTTGTCTGGTTTCTTAGAGCTACTTGGTGCCACGGCACTGCTGAGGCTAGATTTTTATTAAACATGAGAATTACTGTGCTGCTTGGTTTATTTCTTGCAATTACATCTTGTCTTCTTTTCGTGTTTTTTATTTTATTTTATTTTGCAATGTCTGTATGAAAATTATAAGAAGTAATCACTGGGTATACTTATGTAATGGTTTAACTTTTGAAATCAACCCCATTCAAGATGGCTGCTATAGAAAATGCCAACATAATTTAATTATGTCATTCTTTCAGATACTGGTCTAAAGTTTGCTCTGGTTGTAGCTGAGGGTCATTGACAACTTGAAGCAAAACACTTGGCATTATTTTGCTTAAAACTCGGGCATTAACTGTTAAAATCATCCCATAAACCATGGGATCAATTTTATTGAAATTTTCTAGGGGTGACCTGAAACCAGTGCTTTTCAGACCGAGTACTTTAGTTTGGATACCAAGTACTAATAAAAAAGTAGTTGATAAGTTAAATATCACACAGTGGAAACACATCTTTTTTAATTGTGAAACTGGCTGAGCATCAGCAGCTCTGCTGCTCGCTTCTCTGTCAGGATCAGGGAGGAAGCGTATGTTGAGCCCGCATGTGTTGGAAATGTGTGCTTCTCCAGCTCTTCACGGGGGCTGAAAGAGTCTGTCTGGCTGCAACACCAAAGGACTGTCATAAACCACCCCACACACACACAGATGATGAGTGCATTTATTGGGGGCGTTGTCATCGGCCCCATTAGGAGCTTGCGAAGCCATTGTGATTCTTGTGTTTTTCTCTGCACCAAATGAGTCTGATCAATAGTCTGCTCAGATAACAGTTGCTGCTTCCTCTTCTCCTGAGGTCTCGTGTAGTACACACACATGTTCCATCAAACACATGCATGACTGCATGTGCAAAAGTTGTAAAACAAAATGCCCTTTTCTTTTTTTGGATATAATTTTCTGAACCACGTTGTAATAATGCAACAAAATGGGTCCTTTAATGACATCATACACGTTTTCTTATAGGAAACAGCCAAGACATGGTCTTTTGTGACTTATTTCAATTCAGTTTATTTATATAGCACCAAATCACAACAGAAGTCATCTCAGGGCACCGAACAGAAACATTCATATACATACAAATTTAATTGGTAACTATTTATCTAAGGCATCCAGCAGATTGTGTTGTCTTCATTGCATCGTAGTCTCCCATTTCAAAACCATTTTGTGACATTTTTTAGTTCAAATGTTCAATAGAAGATAAATTCTGGTTATATCGCAGGAGTGTCAAACTCAGTTACAAAAGGGGCCAAATGTTAAACTAAATGCTTCAATGGTCTCATTTGACATTCTTTGTTGCTTTTTTTTTTTTTTTTTTTTTTAAAGAAAGAAGAATAAATAAATAAATAAATAAATAAAAGAGATTTAAATAAATAAAAGAGAGATGATGATAAGTTCATTGAAACACTTCACAATGTTTCTACACTTAAACTGAGCTAAAAAAAAAGACATTCTTTGTTACTTTTTCAGCATGAAAATCAAAGATTACAGAAAATTTCAATTTTTGGTCTTCACAGTTGGACAACTGTTTGATGTCTGCGCAAAATAAACTATTCTCAGTTTTTTTTTTTTTTAAGTAAAATGTGACGCTATAAAAATATTTTAATTTGAAAATATCATTATGGGGGCAAGATAATATGTGAACAAGTGCCATATTTGGCCCCTGGACTTTGAGTTTGACACATATGAGGACCGGTAAATATGTTTGTATCTTTACTGGTTTTGCTGCCAAACTTTTGACTAACTTATGAGAACCAATTTAAAAAGTGCATTGTTGCCCTTAAACATGATGATTTCACTGAGAAGTGACAACAAAAGACTGAGATGGTACTTTGAGCCCCCACTCTGAGCTCCAGCTGCAGGCCTCCCTCCTCCCCAGCCTCGTCTCCAAGGGAGAGGAAAGCCTGTTCTGAAATCTTTGAGTGTGGTGAGGTGTTTACTGGTTTATGACAGACTTCTGGTGTTGCAGCCCCACAGACGCCCGTCTCTTCAGGCTCCAGAGTACAGCGCACATTTGAAACACATGCTGGCTCATCCGATTTCTCTTCACGCACTCTCCTGAACCAACGGATCAAAGACAGGTCACGTTTTTATAGGTATGGATGATTCATTACAAGAATCCTGGTGAACATTCATTAGAGAATGGAGTAAAGTTTAAACTGAGAGTATTTTGCTGTTTTCTAATTAAATCAAATCTCTGAGAGCTGCAACATATTTCTCTTTGAGTACAAGCCTGAGTGAGAGGAACCCAACGCTGCTGAGACAAATCTGTT